CATGAGCCCTGGCTCCCTACCTGCTGTGTGACAGGGCCTGTGTCCCTCCGCAGCACGGCTCTTCTCTCTGACCCAGGGTGCGCAGCTGGTGTGGGACAAGGGATGGTCCACTATGGACCATTATTACTATTACTATTACTACGGGTAATGGGTTTTCCCAGCACCGCTCGCCCACACTTTTCCCCTAACATATGCTGGCTGGGCTGCAACATTGCTGCTCACTGGCGCTGTAGCACCTGCTGTCCCTGGCCACCTCAGTGGTGGACCCATTGGCCATGCCCCTGGCCCCTCTCCATGACTCAGCAACACACTGGGTTCTCCAGCCAGCTGGCATGTGCTACTTATCCTGGTGATGTCCATAGTGGACCATGCAGATGCTCAGCACATCATCTAGAGGACCTGGGGTGCCCCTAGTAAGCCTCTGGCAGATGGTGCTTGTGGTGGGGCAGGCACCTGAGGCAACAGTGGGCTAAGGTGTGCAGTGGGAACAGCAGTTTGGGGACATCTTGCTGGGGAGCTACAGTGTCAGGTACTGCAACCTCACGTGAAGGTCATGCACAGCATCTGAGCACTGACAGTCCCACTATATTCTCAAGATGGATGACGACTTCTTCAACGTGGACAGCTTGGCCACCTTCCTGGCTGGGCTTGACCTGGTGTCTCTACATGAGGTCCCTCGTCTTCTGGGAGAAGTGACAGGTCATCTGCCAGCCCTCCAGCAAGCGGTATGTGGCATGCATGGCAGGACTGTCCTAATGTCTACCCACCCTATGCCAGTGGCATGAGATATATCCTCTCCCTGGACATGGCCAAGGGATTTGTAGGCAGTCAGCACGTCTGCCCCATCCCCATGGAGGATGTAGGCAGCTTGGTGGAGGTAGCTGGGATCTGACCGCTTTGCCAAGTACAATGTGCCATTGCATGCCTGCAGCTACCCAACCTGATGGTGATCCATGCCCTGAGCCCCGGAAGGAGGAAGGGGGCTCAGCACAGCATGCTGCAATTCCATAGCACTGGCTGTGACAGCCCCAGTTTGCTTGCTGGGAGTGACCCACCAAAGACCAGGTGACTGAGGGATTGCAGTTGCAGCATACGCTTCCACTCCAGCCCCAGTGCTGCCCAGTTGCCCAGTTGTCCTGCTGGCCCCAAGAAACCATCAGGGTGTGGGCAAGGCAGAGAAAGTACACCTGCCCATGGCGCGTGGCCTGGGAGTTTCTCAGGGGCTGTAAATAGCTGAGTTCCCCTTCTGTTCATCTCGAAAGCGAGAAGGAGAACATCCTCCGGAGAAGAGGAAAGAATCAGTCAATTCTTGTTGCTGCTACAAAATCTAATTTTTATTTTATTAAATTGTCTCTCTTCTATAAACTTCCAAAATATCTGGGGCCTCTGCTACAAAGATTTGTACAACGGTGGCTTAGTGAAGCCATTGCACCTGGGGCCAGGGATGGTGGCACTTGCATGGGGCTGCAGCTGGTGGCAGGGGACATCTGAGGCTAGTCTTTGGGATCTAGGGAGGAGTGGGGAGAGCTGGGGGGGCAGAGCACCCCAGGACCATCCTCAAAAAAGGGCATGTGGGGGAAAAAGTGGGTGAAGGAGCTGGGGTGGGTCTGTGGTTGCAGTAGGAGCTGGTGCAGTGTCTCGCCCATCTGCACCAGGCTATGGGAGAGGACGCAGGCCCTCCAGCAGCATCTGCTGCTGCCGTGATGTCTGCAAGATCTGCACCAGGAGCTGCTGGATGCTCTGGAGCAAGCCTGCCATGCTGAAGCCTGCAATGAAAGAGGGGTCAGTAGCAGCAAACCCTTATCACAGCGCTGAGAGCCCTGTGTGAGGCTGTGGGGATGCTGCAGGAAGGACTCACCATGCATGTTTGCGTCCAATGCCTCTTCACCTGCTGCCTGGTGCTCGCTCATGGCAGCTGTTCCAGCGGAGCTTGGGGCTGCGGTGGGCACTGACAGATCTTGGTTTCCTCTTCCCAGCCCTGGGGACATCTCACCTGTAACACCTGCCATGATGGTTTGGCATGGAGGGAGCAGCCAGAGTGCTAGAGCCACCCAAGCCTCATGCACAGCCTGAGGGCACTGCAGAGCTCCAGGAGGGCACTGCCTGCGGGAGCCCCTGCCCTCCATTCCCATGGGCAGGACAGGACAGAGCTGCCCCATGGAGCAGGGGGACCTGCTCAAAGCCACAGACACTTACCAGCCTTTTGCTCAGCTCCTTCCTGCTTCAGGGCAGTGTAACGGCCTGGAAGAAGAGCAGACACAGTGTGTGAACTGTAGCTACCTCCTGTGTCAGGGCACACAAACACTGTAGCATGGGTATGACACTCACCCTGGAGAGGAAGGGGAGGGAAGCCGTGACCGGTGTCTGCAATGAGAACTGTATCAGACCCTGCTCACGAGGCTGAGGGGGGTTACTGGGCTGAGTGGGGCAAGGAAAGCCTTACGTGGCACAGTGAGGGGAGAGGGTGGCACTCCAGCAACGTGGTCCCCATCAGCTGCTAGGAGAGAGCAGAGAGGAGAGATGCATCATCTGCTGGGACCTGCTGAGGAATCACCACTAGCCCGGCATCTGCCTAGCTTGCCCCGGCCAACCTTGCAGCCCAACATGCCCTAGCCACAGCTCCACAGCACCCTGAAGGGCCCTAAAGCGTTTCATGAGCTAGATACAAAAGCAGGAGTCACTCACCCACCACTGCAACACAGCCAGCTCTGGGCTGGAAGGCAGCAGCAGCATAGCAGTGCGCAACACTACACAACAGATTAGGACTGGAAGTGAAGGAGAATCCCACATCTACTAGAAACTGCAGGGGGAATTTAGGGAGACGGAATGTAATTACCCAGTGTGGGATGCTGGCCAGGGCGTCCACACAAATCAGATCCATGGACATATCCTGCATCACCTTGGTGCCAAACCCCTGGGGGTGCGCACAGTGAGGGGTGCACAGGATCCGCCCCTGGGTGCGCTGCAGGGCAGGGGGAGCTGCAGGCACCTCTGGCCCTCACACCCAGTCCTAACTCATCTGAAGCTTTATGGTGCTACTGGGGAAGGGGGTGTCGGGACTTGCTGAAGGAAGGGGAGTTGCATGCCCTGCAGTGCCACACATCCACCAGAGCCCCCTGGGCCAGACTGGGGCCACCATCCCTTACAGACCTCGAGCCCTGCAACTTGCCATGGGGCAGCCAGCAGCCTTGCCATGCCCTCAGGCTGGGTCAGAGCTGGGGAACCCCTGCCACCCATCTCCATTCCCTCACACTCTGGGGCTGGTTTGGAGCCAAAGCCTGTGGAGAGAGAAGTCCTAGCACCCCCATTGGCAAGCATCCCTGCTGAGGGACTTGCGATGGGCCCCCTGACCCTCTAAGCCCCCCATTCCCTTCATGCTGGCATGGGCTTGGGCTGGAGCTGTGGCCGTGCAGCAGGGCAGACTGGTACTTACGGCTCTCTGGCTCGTCCTTCACACGCTGCGGCACTGGGGACAGCAGCATGGCCTGGGTGTCCCTGCCAACATCATGCTCTGCAGAAGGAGGGTGAGGTGTTGCAGAAAGTAGCTTCAGTAACTTGGCAACAAGGGGTGCCTGCCACCCCACACCCGGGACAAGCCCCACTCTGGCTGCCTGAGCCCATGGGTACCTGGCAGCTCTGGTAAGGATGGAGAGCTGGCAGCAAGGGCTGACCTGCGCTTCCTGGAGGGTGGCTTTGACAGGTCTAGAGGAAGAGAAAGAGATCATCAACAGACCCTGGATGGCCATGAAGCACCAGTGTTCCCACATCCAGACACCCTGCCA